GGTGGCGCGCTCCACGGGTAGCGCTGCCCGCAAGGTCCTTGAAGGTTTGGGTCGCCCGGACAGGGGCGGCGGGGGGCGCGGCGCAGGGGCGCCCGCCGCGGCCCCCCGAGATCGCTGAGAAGTTTTCGCGCGGCCGCCATGCCTCCGCGATATATCGCGGGATTACGCGGGCATCTATAGATGCCCGCGCAATCCCGCGCCGCGGCGCGGCGCGCATAGGCGGGGGGGGGGGGGGGTCGCCCAATGCGTCGCAGCGCGCGGTGGGGCGCGGGCCTGGCGAGGCGCCCCTCCGCGCGCCATGGCCGCGCGCAGCTCTTGCGCGCGCGCGCCCGCCAGTTGCAGTAGGCGCGCGCGCCCGCGCGCGCTGGAGCGCCGATGTCGAGGCGGCCGCCCTCGACGCGCGCCCACGGGGCCCCCTGCCGCCGCGGCCCCGCCCGCAATTTTTGCGGCCCGGCGCGGCCGTCGCGCCGCGGGCCGCGGGCGGGAAGGGCGGGCGCGGCTTCGAATGCCTCGATTTAGACGCGCTGCCCGAAAGGCGGGCGCCGCTGCCCAGCTCGCGCTGCCACGGGGTTCTACAAGCCGAAAGCGCCGCTAGTGCCTTTCTTGCGTATTAGGGGTTGCTGGGGCGCCCAGGCGCGGCGGCCGCGGCGCTTGCGCCGCCGTCCGCCCGCGGGCCCCGTGGCCGCCATCTCTTTTGCCCCCCGGGGGGCGGCGCCGTCTCATGGCGGTCGCCGAAGGGGACCATTTCGCTGGAGTTTTTCCGGGGCCCGCGTAAGTGGCGGCGTTGTCGCAGATTGCGGCGCCTCAAGGGCGGCGAGGTCTACGCTGGCGCGCGCGGGGCGCCCCCCGCTGGGCTTCCCAGGAGCCCGCGCCACTGGCGACTGTTTCCAAGCCGCTGCCCGCCAGGGGCGGCGATGTGTCATGGCGGCGCCCCGGGGGCGCCCTCCGTTCGACCCCCCGAGCACGCGAGTGAGGCTGCAGTTTGGCAGGTCGCAGCCCGCCGCGGGCGGCGAGGCCTCGCGGCGGTCCCCGTGGAACACTTTTGCGCCGGAACTCCTGTGAGTTTGAGGCCACGTCGGCCGCGACTGCCCGAACAGAGGAGCTGCCGAAGGTAAGAGTCAGGGAGGGGCCGACGGGGGGGGAAATGCTGGTAAAGGATTCCAGCACGGAGGTTACCAGTACAACTACAACAGCAATTGCAAAGGTCACCCAGGCGGCCAGGGCGGCAAAGGGGGATGCGGAAGTCAGAAAATGTACAATGGAAATGCAGGAGGGGGCAAAGGCGGCAATGGAGGCCACCAGGGGTGGTATACAGGAGGAGGTAACGGAGGAGCTGAAGGGGGGGGTAAACGAGGCCAAGGGATTGTGCCCACGGCGAGCGATCATGCTTCGAGTGCGGCGGTGAGGGGCACGCCGCCCTCAACTGCCCCGGAAGCAGGAGCCGCTGGGGCAGCAGCGGGAGAACAACCTCAGGGGCTCGGGCAGTCTTAACCGGGAGCTTTCAGCGTTGAGGTACCCGCGGATGTCACCGAGGAGAAGCCATTGGTCGTGGAGGAGTGGAGTAATCAGCATGAGGAGAGGAGGAAGCTAAACAGGGGGCGAAGAAGGGGCCCATGGCAAGTTACCGCGCGCGCAGCCCCATCTGCAACCACCCCCAAGACAGAAATGTCACCGGGCCGCTCCGGAGCCAGGGGGGGGCAACTTTGCCAGCGTCCACTCGGGCTGTTACCTCCAAGAGTTGGTTCCAAAAGTAACGCGCATGCTTGTGAGCATTGGGCTGTTCGCCCCCCCCCCGAGACGCTTCCGCCCAAAATGCACCGCCGAACCCAGTCCGATTGGGCCATGCGCGGGCGCAGGCGATTCTCGCACGCGCACGCCGGAAGTGGTGCCCTTATTCAGCTCGCCCAGGGAATGGCGGTTGCGAGCCCCGCAACGTGGCGACCTGCAGGCCTGTGCCCGCGGTGGCCGCTGAGCGCGCCAGTGCGCCTGGTGAACTAGGGCCTTCGGTGGGCGGTGCGGCGCCGATCTCCAGGTTCGCTGCCCAGCATCGCGGCCGAGGCAGTCGCTCGATCGAGGAGCGGGGGGTGCCCATCCGCGCCGCAATGCGCACTTCTTCCAAAGGCGCGCGCAGCTCCGATCAGCATTGCCCCGATGACAAAGCACTCGGCCACCACGAAGTTGTGCTTCACCACCACGCCGCGCGCTGCGCGAAGCTTGGCCAGCAGGTTCTGGGGAAGATTGCGTTTGAGTTTCTGGTCGCCCAAGAATTCGTTTGAGATCTTGTTGGGGATTGGCAAGAGGCGAGACGTCGTTTAAGATGTCGTTTGGGATGTGGCAGCGGCGCGATGTCGTTTGAGATTTCGTTCGGGATTTATCGGTGGGGAGATTTCGTTTGAGTTTTTGCTAGGGCCCCAAAGTGTCTCGGAAGATTTCATCGGATATCCGTTTGGAGATTCTCTCGCGGCAAGATCTGGTTTGAGATCTTGTTTGAGATTTTCTCTCTCGGCGAGATTCGGTTTGAGTTTTTTTGAGATTCCCACAGAGCTTGGTCGAGGAATCGGGGCCGTAAGCAGATGCACTCACGTGCTAAATTCGATCTGGGCACATAGTGCCTTGAGTTGCAAACGCAAATTGCGCAAATATGATGCGCGTGCCGTCTTGAAACTATTGCGCTGCATTTTTGCGTGCTGTCTCAATGAGGCTGAGCGGAAAAGGCTGTGTACTTTCCTGGCAAGGTGTCTCCGCTGTATTTTCCGGGTACCTGATTCATACGCGAGTAGGATTTCGAATGCCACCGTTCTCACCATGGCCGGCCACGGAGCGTGATACAACGCCATATGCTTTTCATGTGACACTTCGCCCGACGCCCACAGTCTGACCCAGTTCGCTGTTCAATTTTCGGATCAGGTAGCCTGTCTCTTCGCCCCTCAAACGGCCGTCGAAAACGAGGTCGGCCGCGACAGCCTTGGGGACAAATGGTAATGCGTAGCTGTCTGCTGGCAGCCGGTTCTCCCGCGCGGCTTGCTGCATCCTTTCGCCGAGATGGCGGAGGAGCTCGTGCGTGGGAGACTACACTGCGCTCGTGGCAGAGCGGCTGAATCATGCTGGCTTCGCCATGCTCGCGCGCCGGCTGGCGCACGGCTTCTCTATTGTTTCTGCTTTGAACAGGGGTGGCGCTTTTGGTCGACCTTCCGTGGGTTAGGCTCGTGGGACCTATGGCTTCGGACTCGCAAGTTTGTCGTAATGTATTAGGAGGTGTGGCCACGGGAGCACGAATTTGGTATAATGTTCGACGGATTGTAGTTTGGGGAGCGCGAGTATGGCGTGATGTGGAAGGGATTGTGGCGTCGGGAGCTCGCGCCTAGTGCATTTGCAAAACATTGCTGCCTCGGGAGCACGAAGATGTTGAAGCTTACAGGAATGATGGTGGTGTGGGCAGCGCGAGCTGTGTGTAATTCATACGGGATTGTGGTTTGGGGAAGCGAGCCCGTCATAATAGAAAGGACGGCGGCTTCGGGGGGGCGAAGCTGGTGTAATTTTCGAGGGGGTGTGGCTTGGGGAGCTCGAGGATCGAGTAGTTACAAACGATTGTGGCATTACTAAATGCGAACGCGCAGTAAAGTATGCAGGAGTGTGGCCTCGGGTGCGCGAGTCTGCTGTATTTTGATGTGTCCCAACAATCCTAAGCGATTCTGCGAAGCCCCAGAGGGTTTGGTTTTCGACTACTTTTCGGCCTCCCCGCCTCGCGCGATCTTCAATCATTACACCAACGAATGGGACTTCAAAACGAGAGCATCTGTAAGTTTCATTTTGGGAACTGGCACTGGCGCACGAAACTGGACAGCGTCCGTCTCGCAGCCTCTTGGCCCTCAAGGGGGCTGGCGGATCTTGGTGACGCCAATGTCCTCAATATTTGACCGTCTGCGCTGTGTTCCAAGGCATTCCTCGAGTGCCGTACGCAGCGCTGCAGCAAAGAAAGGGAGAACAGCGAAGGTCCGCCACCGTGGCGCGAGGCAAACTGTGTAATGTCCGCAGGTCTTCAGTAGCCCTCTGTGTGACTACTGTAGACATGATGGGGTGTTCCAGACCCCCTAGAACCATCTCGAGGTGTTCCGTTTCCACGTGACTTTTGTGTGGGCCCTTGGAGTGTGGCTCGGAATCCAGACATCCAGCATGCCCGAGGAGGGTCCAAGGGGCCTGTCCTTGGGCGCTCCCAGGGATATCTTGGGCCGTCTTGGGGGCTCTGGGGGGGCGGCCCACGCACGAGGCCCTAGTCGTCCAAAGCTTCGAGTTAGATGTACATAAAAGTGCACACATGTGATTTCAAACTTCAAACTATCTCATTTTTGGTCGTAAGAGCGTCGAAGATGGCCCGAAAGCCTCCCAAGATCGCTGGCTTCCGAGTTCCCAAGCGGGGCCCAGGAAGCGCCCAAAATGGTGAACTCGAAGAAGCCCCTCGTGCCCTCAACCAAACGACCCCAGAAGCAGTCAGTAGGCTCCCAAGACGCCCCCAAGAGGCCCCCAGATGCCCCCACGGTGCTTCAAGGCGACCCCAGGTGCACCAAGGTGCCCCGAGGTGCCCCAAGGTGCCCCCGGGACCCAAGAGGCTTCAAGAGGCTCCCAAGGTACCCCCAAAAAGGCCTCCAAGAGGCATCCAAGAGACACTAAGTGGCCCCTTGGTCCAAGACCCAGGAGCAGTGGCGGGTTGTGCCGAAGGCCACTCGGTAGTGCGCTTTTCGTTGCTATGATAGCAGAGGTGGTATTGGAGAGGGCCATGACCTTCGTTGAACATGTTGCCTGCCACGAGCCACCTCAACGACGCCCTTCGATCCATCGTGCTTGCGAAAGAGGGCCTTTGAAGTCAAGTCACTTAGAAGCTCACCTGTCTGGGGTTATGGCAATTGTAAATGTAGGGCCCGAGTGAGGGCCTGTGTGTCACCAATGCTTTCACAAGGGGAGGGTGGGCTGGACCAGAGGCTGTAGCGAGGGTCTCTGGAAAGGAGCCGCTGCCAGCTGGCGGGAAGCCTACAGTAAGGCTCCGGGGCTTCCACGAGATCATGCAGGAGCGCCGGCAGCGGTCGCAGGCGGGCTCCCAGGCCCGCGACATCGTCATCGTGACGTGATTGGCGAGCGTGGCACGTGGCTTTTTTGGAGATCGTGAAATGAGGAGGGGTGAGGGATGACTGCGATGGATGATGAAAGTAAGGATGAGGCGTGGGAGGAGGGATCACGGACGAGGGAGGATGGGGAAGAGGAGGAGGAAGAGGAAGAGGAGGAGGAGAAGGACGAGGAGAAGGAGGAGGAGGAGGAGAAAGGGATGGGGGGATGAGACATGATGATGACGATGATCGTGTTGCTGATGATGATGAGGATGAGGATGAGGATGATGATGATGTTGTTGATGAGGATGATGATGATGATGATGGTGGTGGTGATGATGGTAATGACGACGATGATGACGATGATGCATATCATTTTGATGATGATGTTGCTGATGATGAGTATGCTGGCGGTGATGATGATGCTGCTGATGATGATGATGTTGCTGCTGATGAAGATGCTGATGATAATGATGATATGATGCTGATGATGGTGGTGATGCTGATGCTGATGCTGATGATGACGACGATGATGATGGCGACGACGATGATGATGTTAGTTATAATGATGATAATGATGATGATGATGATGATGATGATGATGATGATGATGATGTTTGTGATGATGATGATGATGATGATGATGATGATGATGATGGTGCTGCTGATGATGATGATGCTGATGATGATGCTGATGATGATGTTGCTGCTGATGATGATGATGCGGATGCTGCTGATGATCATGATGTTGCTGATGATGATGTTGATGATGATGATGCTGATGATGATGATGATGATGATGATGATGATGATGATGATGATGATGATGATGATGATGATGTTGATGATGTTGATGATGATGATTATGATTATGATTATGATTATGATTATGATTGTGTTGATGCTGATGCTGCTGCTGCTGAGGAGGAGGAGGAGGAGGAGGAGGAGGAGGAAGAGTAGGAAGAGGAGGAGGAGGATGCTCCGCCTTGCCTTCTCCGTGCCTCCCCCCCGTGTCGTCCTTCTCCGTGTTTGTGCCTCCCCCCCCCCCCTCATGTGCTGCTTGTCTCGACTTGCTGCAGGGCTTCATGTTACCATCTCTGCTGCTCCCGTGGGCTCCCGCGTGGCTCCTGTGGGCCTCTGGAATAAGATTTCGATCTCGTTGGTGCGTCCAGAGCTTGTATGTCTCTTGTCTCAGGTTTCAAGTGACATTGAATTGGTGAACATCTCATTATAGATGGGAATAAGAAGAAGAGGGAGAGGAGGGAGTGGGGAGGAGGAGGAGGTTGAGGAGGAGGAGGAGGAGGAGGAGTAGAACGAGGAGAAAGGGACGGTGGAGACGGAGGAGACCGAGGAGACCGAGGAGACGGAGGAGACGGAGGAGAAGGAGGAGTAGGAGAAGGAGGAGGAGGAGGAGTAGGACTAGGAGGAGGAGGAGTTGGAGAGAAGGGATGAGGTAAGAGCGCGCGTGCTCGGCAGTAATCAGAGCTCGCCTATACATCGGGCTCTCAGTGCGCCGCTGATTCGGCAGCCGTTTCTCACTTCGTGGGGAGTACGATGCCAACCCGACGTCGGCGTGTGGCACAAGGCCACTTGGAGAGCAAGCTTGTCCGCTTAGGTTCAGGCCGACCATGGTTTCGTTCCCCGGTAAGGGGCGGGTCCCTGTTCGATGCTTTCAAAGGAAGTGTTTTTGTTTTCCCTCTTCTGGCAGCATGGGCACGAAGCTGACTGTTTATAGATCTATCCGCCATGGAGGAGTGGTCCTAAGGGAGAGGCATCCTGAGCTTTTTCCAAGTTTTCCTGGGCCCTTCCCAGGTCCAAGGGCCGTCAAGAACGGCCCAGGATGAAAAGGCGGTCCCAGGGGAAACCTCAGGTCCAGGACTTGTTTCCCTCAGGGCTCTTTTCCCTCATGGCAGAATCTGCCGTCCAAGGGATGTCCGTTGTGAATCACCGAATGCTCAGTGCTGGTGGTGCCCCACTTGCAATAGTTTGCAGGTTTTCGCATGCTTCTAATTTGAACTTCTTCGACCACTGGTGTCATGCCTCTGCTGCTCAGGTAGGACAGGAGGCCGCTGCGCAGAGCAAGGAGGGAGCACGCGCCTGCTCCCTGCCTTGCTGCCACATCACGCTTTTCTGCAATATGTGGACCTCGTTCCTTTTAGCGTCTTGAGGATCGACTCGCTGATCGCGCGCGTAAACAGGCGGCATCGTCCCAGATACCACTCCTGTCTCCGGAGAGAGAGAGAGAGAGAGAGAGAAAAAGCAGTTATGCTGAACAACCAATGCCTGGGGCTCGGAGAGGAAAACTACCATGATGAGAAAGGAGGAAAAATAAGAAGCGGAGGATGAAGAGGACGAAGACGAGGAGGATGAGGAGGAGGAGGAGGACGACGATGACGATGAGGAGGATGAGGAGAGGGAGGAGGAGCGGCGGAGGAATGGATAAGGAATCAAATAAGCAGGACGATCAGGGATCTGCTCGACGAGGAAGAGGAGGAGGAGGAGGAGGAGGAGGAGGAGGAAGAGGACGAGGGGAAACAGTTCGCGTTCGTAGTTTACTCGAAACGTGGTGACTGCCTGCGGGCAGCGTTGTGCCGTGCCCTTTTTCGTTTCTCCCTCTCCTCTGCAAGCGTATGTGGCTCTGAGTCGGCTATGGCTGTCGCGGTGACTCCCCGCCCCAACGCGGTTGGCGTCGCAATCTTGGTGCCCCTCGTGGCCACAACCCTGCGCCCTGGAGTGGTGGAGCAGCCCGATGGCGAAGCCGCGCGCGCCGATGCCAGTGGCGGAGCGGTGGGTCGGAGGCCAAGAGGGCCCCCCCCAGCGGAGGGGCCCGCGTCGACGCCCGGAGGAGCGGGGCAGCCGGATGATAGAAACCGCGCGCGCCAACGCCAGTGGCGGAACGGTGGGCGCGGAAGCAGAAGGGCCTCATTGGCGGAGTTAGGGGAGTTCGTAAAACCCATGCACCCCGCTCCCAACAGCTGATTTTGGGAGGAACGCACCATTTCATCTACCTGATCTTTTTCGGCATCACGGGAGGAAGGATCACGGAGGCAGAGCAAGGCGCCCTCGGGGCTCTTCTCGAGGCTAATTACGGCAGCACTACATTTGCCCGCCCTGTCAGGGATTCATACGGGGACGTCCCCTGACAGGGCGCCCGAGGCAGATGGGGAAGTGGGGAGTATACAGCACTAGTGAAGGGATGGGGCCGTTTCTTCTAGGTCGCACGAGCCGCCTGGCAGCTTCGGTCAACCTGTGCGTTGTAGTTTACAATGATTTGCTCGGCCTCCCGTCCCCCTCACCCTTTCCACACCCCGCCTCCTTCAGGGGGCGGGTTTGGGTGCGGGGGGCGGGGGTGCAGCGTGTCCGTTAGAGATATGGCGACGTTCTGAACATGACACTGCTAGTTTGCTAAACACACTTCTGTCCGTGGAGGTGGAGTGCGGTCGGGGTTGTGCGAGGGTTGTCCTGCATGTCGCAGGCCTTGTGTGTGCTATATCGCGCGTTCAGGCTTGTCTGGCTCAACGGTATTTTGGCCAGTCTGCGGCTGACCGCGCCGCGTTTGTCAAATCGTACCTCCTAGCCGGCCTCCTTGCCCTTTTGGGCATCTCCAATCATCTTGGCAGCGGTTGGGACGACTACGGGGAGGAGGCCGCGGAGGCGCCCAGCATCGAGGGGCCTCGAGACGATGCGGAGCTCGCTTGGGGAGACGGCACGAGTGCTTACGAAAAGGGTGCGAGGAGGTGGAAGATGGCGCCCTGGAGTCGTTGGAATCGTGTGTATGCGAGGACGGGGCTACAAGTGACGCCTGGAGTTGTCCTGGTCGCCAAGGTCCATGGTAAGGGACATCCCTGGACACCTGTTGACCCGACAGGCCGTGTGCAGATGATAGATATGCGGGACAATCAAAAGTACGGTACGAAACCAACCGACGGAGTTCAGGGGAGTGACCATCCAGGTCTCGCGCCGATCTTGAAGGAAAAGAGTATTGTGGCGTCGGACAAGTTGATCGCTCGCGCTGCCATGGGGAGGGCCTCAAGTTCGTCTCCACTTCCCCCGATGAAGCCAGGTGCGGGTAAGAAGTTGTTTGGCAAGGGCCGCGGCAACAAGACCAATTTGGCGTCCTGGGTGCTCGGCATATGCCTTCACGACGGGGGTGTCGGCCTTCACCAGGGCGCACTACGGTTTCGTTGCAGGAGCTGTCTTCGTCGGCTGGCGGGTGGCGCGTAGGCTGGGTGTCGCGTCCTGGTTTTCGTGGGCCCACGCGAGAAGACAGCAGGCGTTCGATATGTAGGAGGACGCCGAGGGCTTCATGTCGGAAATTTCGGAGATGCGCGAGTCGGGCCAGCTAGAGTTCATCCAGTTGTGCGTTGGAGGGTTCGTCTTGTCCTGCTATGCTCTGTCTCTCGTGCGGGTCGGTTCCATGCTTTGCTTGGACAGCTCGGGGTCAGACTCCGACTCTGACGGTGCGATCTTTCAGGGAACCGAAGTCCCCGACTCAGACGACGAGCCTGGGTCTACGGCGTTGGTGGAGATCCCCAGGAACCAACAGGCCCTGCAGCAGAGCCTCGCACAGTCGCGGGGCGATGGTCTGGGTTCAACGGGTCCGGCGTCTGCGTCTCAGGATCTTCGGCGGAGGTGGGCCAGGGGGGCGAGCTCGCAGCCAGCGGCGGGCTCGCCCTTTCCGGCGGCCGCGTTGCAGGGCGACGGCGCTCAGATCGACGATTTCTTGAGGAAGCTGAATGGGCGCGAGGCCACTGTCCGCGGGGATGCTGGCCCCACGGCTGGAAAGGAGCGGGGGCTTCTCCCAGGCTGTGCCCCGGCCAGCTCAGGGCGTCAGTCCTGGGGGTTCGGCCGCGGACATGGACCCCCAGATCTCCATCCTCAGCAACGAGAGCAGGGGGCCCGAGCAGGAGCCCCCGCAGACACTGAAGCAACACAAGAGCGACACGGCCCAGAGGGTCGGGGGCGCACGCGCGCGGGCGCGCCGACCGTTCTCTCCAGGCTCTCCCTACAAAGGAAACAGGTCC